CCGATCAAAGTTCGGTTGACTTTGATTCCGGGTTGTAGAAGATGTCGATATAATTACTTGGTCATCTTTTACGCGAATATTTGACTCGTACTTGTTATGAACATCTGCCCACATTGTTGCCTGAAATTCCAACAAACTCCCTTTCAACTTCCTTGAGGCATCTGAGCTTGAGGATTAGACCCTTGGTAAATGCTTCCCCGCCCATTCATCTGGTACTGTGGCAACATCATCCTCTTCTTTTGGAATCGAATCACGAACTCTTATAGAAACTCTAAGTCTCTTTGAGTAATTCTGAATATATCTACTTTCCTAGCTTGATTTTTGTTGCTCCAGCGTGAGCTTTGATGAATGAATCTGCAATCATTTCAAAAGAATGAATTGAGTGTTCAGGTAAAAGTGAATACCACATTAAAGCCCCTTTGGTTAGGGTTGCGCCAAATTTCTTTAGTGAAACTGATTCGATGTCATGCGAAGCCAAATCATTTCCCTTTAGAGTTATGGTGTAGGCTGTGATGTGTTCTAGTGGATCCGATGTTTCATCATATTTTGGAATATCTGGCATCTTGGATCTCTTTAGAATCAACTCCGGAGCGGCACTAGGTTTGAACGACCACTGTATATGCTTCTTCAAATCCAAGCCCTTCAAAACCGAGGGTGCTCCATGAATCTGATCTATCCGAGCATGAAATTCTTTAGCATTCTAATTCCCTCATAAACCTCATGAGCTCGGTCTTGAAAGGATCGTCTGCGTTGTTTTTATTTTCGGATCAACTACCGGCAACTCCTGCTTGATTGTTGTTTGATCAAAACTCCCCCTAGTAACAGTGTTACCGGTTCTTGGTGTCGTTTGATTGATAGGAATTCCAAAAGGATTGGAATAATTGAAAGCAACCGATAGCGCTTGCTGGAGCTCATTCATTATTCATTCATGTCTTGAGGGATGATTCATGATCTCTCTTTGCTGCGCTCTCGGAACATTAACAGTATCTGCAACGGGTTCATCTTCCATATCATGAGGGGTAGGACTCCTTGCCCGCCGAGTATTTCTTTCTACCCGGTTAGGAGTTGACTCATTCCCATTGAGATGGGTTTCAGTGGTTGAAGCATCCTGTTGATTTCCATCATGGAGATTTTCCACGGGCTCGTCGTTGTTGTTTGTTCCAACATTGAGCGAGTTGTAGACGTCATTGGGTGCCATAGCTGTTTTATGCTTACAATAAAGCTTCAAAGTGCGTTAGTAAAAGGTGAACAAATCAAAATAATACCACAACTTTCTATGTCCCAAGGTGGGCCCGAAACTGTTTATCCGTAAAATGATATAATTGAATTATTATCGTGGTTTATAGACACATGGATTATATTGATTTGATAAAAAAAAAAATAACAAAGAGCAAAGCGAGTAAAGTGAGGATAATTGAAGAGGAACAAGCCTGGGCTTTAGAATGTTCTCACCGGGATCAAGAATGATTGGAAAATCTCGACACCACTTTTATAAAGCATAAAAGAATGAGAAAAAGAATATTAATCTTTTTTATAAGTATTTCTTGATCTCTTACGATAGAATAAAAGCGTCTATTTACACTAGAGCTATGGGGTGCATGATTACAATTATGCCCCCCTTAATTATCAATATTAAAGCTATAATAAAAGGTAATTAAAAGTAATAAAGAATAATAAGGGGTAATACAGCCTAATAAAGGCTAATAAAGGTCGCAATATTCTTGGAATTTTCTATAACATTTCTATAACGGTCATATCTTGAATTGCCTCTTATCCGGCCACATGTTTGTATCCGGTGTCACCAAGATTGAGTCATTGCTGACTAGTCATCCTTGATATGTATCGCTTCCTAATATACCCAACTTTTGAGATCGGTTTTTACCGTATACAGCAGGAACTATCCCTTTGTGGTTGCATAATCTGATAATGATCGCGTCAAATGTTTAGTATTGTCGCACCTTTAATTTTTAGCGATATGATGCAATTCAACGGCCTGATAGTTTCAAGGTTTTTTTCTCAACAATTGTCTAAACTTAACAGAATTTAGTAGCTAAAATCACAGTTTTTACGAACAAGGACTACTCAGGCTCTGAAAAGGAAAAGGTAGGGTAAAAAAAAAAAAGAATTTAACTTCATTGCAATGATGGGATAAAAAATAACAAATCACCTATAAAACAATTACATGTAAATATCTATGATGAACAGTAAGGGATAACATAATAAAATGCTAACTAATTTATTCTAATAAGTTATAAATTAAACAGTCATGTAAATATTAACACTTCTAGTTTATAAATTAAGGGTGTGTTTGGTATGAAGGAAAACGTTTTCCAATTTTCCTATGTTTGGTTTGCTTAAATATTTTGGAAAATATTTTCCTTATCAACTCATTTTCCTCCAAATTTTCCTTATCAAGTGAAGGGAAAACATTTTCCAAAACTCCTTCTCAATCTTCCCCGTCCTATTCCTCCCTCACCAACCCACCCCACACCCACCCACCCTCCCACCTCCTCTCCCCAAAAAGGATTTTTTAAAAATTTTAGTTTTTTTTCCGTCACCACCTACCCTGCTATCCCCCGCCAAAACCCCACCCTCACTGCCCCCCCCCCCCCACACAACACACAACAATTTTTTTTTCTTTTTTTGTAATTTTAAATTTCTGTTTTTTTCGTTTTTCTGCACCCCACCCCCCACACCTACCCTCTCCCCCCCCCCCCCCCCCCCCCCCGCGGCAAAAAAAAATTTTACTTTTTTTTTTGTAATTTCAAATTTCTATTTTTTTATTTTTCTGCACATACCCCCTGCCCCTCCCCCACCCCCAAGGAAAAATATTTTTTTATATATATTTTCAGTTTTATTTTTTTTATCTTTCGATTTACAGGTTCGAAATTTTACAAGTTCCAAAGTTATGAGTTCGGACGTTTATGTGTTTGAAAGTTTACTGGGTTTAAGAAATTATAAAGTTTACGGGTTCGAAAGTTCGCGGTTTTTACGTAAAAAAGTAAAGCAACACATTAGTTGCTTTGGGTTGTGTCAATTTTTAGAGACTTGGGGAAGGAGTGGGGGAGGGGGAGGGGTGAGGAGAGTTGCATAAAAAATATTTTTCTAAAAAAAATATTTTCTACTCTCTAACCAAACAATAGCCACTTACCAACCAAACAAGAAAAAATAAATGATAAAACCTCTCATTTTCCATGAAAACATTTTCTAGGAAAACATTTTCCATGGAAAACATTTTCCGTCATACCAAACACACCCTAAAACTCCAACTTAAATCTAAAGGAAAAAGTGGCAGCGGGGATGCGCTGTAGATCTCTACCCTTGACCCACATCAGTTCAACTTTCCGGCTTTATGATCTTACGGAGTCTGACACCATGGTTTTTTATACTAAGAAAGACTTAATGTAGAGGGTGGAAGATCAAAACTACTGCGGAAAAAATTTATCATAATATTTTGCTAAAATGATTATGCTTAAGGGTGTTAAATGAGTGGGTTAGTTGAATGGGCTGAGTCACCAAATGAGCAAGTCAGATCAAAACTACTGCGGACAAAATTTATCATAATATTTTGCTAAAATGATTATGCTTAAGGATGTCAAAAGGGTGGGTTAGTTAATTTTGGGCGGGTCAAAATGGGCCGAGTCATCAAATGGGCAGGTCAATGACCTACCCAAAAGTTACTTTGGTTGGTATGTGCTGAGTCAACATAAGCTAAAATTTGGGTTATAATCCAACCCGTCCAACTCTTATCAAGCTTTTAGTTAATGTGTGTTATTTTTCATATGAATTGTTTAATTGTCAAATAAGATTTTTTTTATTTGTTACAGTCATATATAACATATCAAGCAATAAAAAATTATTTTAAAGATATTCAATAAAGTTATTCAGGCATCAATTTGGGTTAAAAATCAGTCCAACTTTAAATAGGCTGAAATGTACTGGGTCAAAATAGGATGAGTTCAACTAAGGGTGTATCTATGTTAGAAAATGTGGGGCACATGCACCCATTCTCTTGCCAAGTAAAAGCAGATTTTATGTACAAATTTTTAATGGTTTAGCCATATAGAGCAGATGGCACCCATACTCAATTTTGGCATTGGTGCCTCCGGTCGAGACTTCATGGATACACATTAATATAATACTACGTATTTAGTTTGTACTTCGTAGCTCTTTTTTTGGTGTAGTTCTATTTCTTTTCCTTCTTATCATTCTTTCGTTTTTCATCTCCTTCTCCAAGTCTTCATGGTAAACAACAACTTAAGAAATCAGAGATTAAATTACTTATTATTTCCATTGAGATTTGTCTTATCTTGAACCACTATAAATTGGTTTTATTTTAAATTATTTATGTGACAATAAGACCTAAGTCCATGATGTGAGACTTGTTTAAATATTTTATCCCAAATTATTGCTTAAACATATTTGAATTTCAATCAAATATCGAAAATAAAATTCAAATTTTTTGGATAAAATATACTTTTCTTTTCTTGTATAAGCAAGTCACATATAACACAACTCGTCATATGCTCTAAGAGCTTTTTGATATTTTCATTTTTCATTTAGCTATAAAATTTGCAAAGTTTCAATTTTTACAGTATTAGATTTTCATTAGTATTCTACTTTCCCTTTTTATTTTGAATTTTATAGTAAAACCTGAATCGGTTTTAAGATAAACATTATGCAATGATTGTCAGATTATAATTGATAATATTAATGACAAACACAGATTTAGATTAGCAGGATTATAGTTTATCTCGCTGAATAATGTACGAAATTATTAATATTTCATAAAAGACTATAAAAATATACATCACTTGATATTATGACAAGTAACGTGGGGCACCCATAGTCTTAAAATCCTGATCCGCCTCTGAGTTCAACAAACTAACAGGTCAATGACCGGTCCAACGTTGGGAGAGTTAGGCGGGTCAAATTTAGTTTGGGATCCTAATTTATGCATGTGTTTGAGAAAAAAATCTGAATGGACGATGCAAATGCAGGACACATTGAGATCACATCCTCCAGAGAACAAAGTAATGAAGAAAGCCTCACTTGTCGGAGTTTCGACGACAACCTTATTCTACATGCTATGTGGTGTCATGGGGTATGCAGCCTTTGGAAACAAAGCCCCTGGAAACTTTCTTACTGGATTTGGTTTCTATGAACCCTTCTGGCTAATTGATTTTGCTAACGTTTGCATTGCTATCCACCTCATTGGAGCTTACCAGGTAAAAATTGTATAAACTATTAGTGTACATAACTTAAGTCCACTCTGATCTAACTCTGCCAAGAATATTGCAGGTTTTTTCTCAACCAATATACAGCTTTGTGGAGGGTGGTTGCCAGCAGCGATGGCCAGACAACAAATTCATCACCTATGAACATGCCTTGAGCATTCCATGCTGTGGCGTTTATAACATCAACTTGCTCAGGTTGGTGTGGAGAACAACATATGTGGTTGTGACAGCCCTGATTGCCATGATATTCCCATTCTTCAATGACTTCTTAGGTTTACTCGGCGCTGCATCATTTTATCCATTAACAGTCTACTTCCCCATAGAGATGCACATTGCCCAGAAAAAAATACCAAAGTATTCTTTCACATGGATATGGCTGAAAATATTAAGTTGGACTTGCTTGATCGTATCACTTGTTGCAGCTGCTGGATCCATCCAGGGTCTTGCCCAGGATATCAAGACATACAAGCCTTTCAATACTCAGTAATAAATATCAGAACAAAGGTTCAACATTAAATATGTACTAATATTTCAATACGTCCATCTAAGTTAAGCATGATGTATGATTTTATATTTCACCAAATCCACATGGTATACACTTTCATGAGCGCGCTAGAAAATGGAACCTATCTACAACTAACGTTTTTCTTACTTAATATGATTAATTGCTGAAAAACAAATCAATTGTACAAGTACACTTGTTTCAATTAATCACGACAATATAAATCATATTCGGAAACATTAGAAAGAAAAAAGATTTTATTCTTGGTGAAAGGCAATGTGACTAATCTACAGAACCATCTTTTGGGAGTTGTAATTAGCACAAACGTTTTTACACGTAGAAATGGACCAAACAGAGCATGGTGGTTCCATTTACTTTCTAATTAAACCTGTACAAACGCAGTAGCAAATGTTATATATTCAATTCATAAAGTAGTAACAAATTAAAATCAAAAGAAGTAAACAGGAGCTCACATCTCAAGTTACTCCCAGTTTCTCCGTTATCTGTGAATCTTTACTTGGAAAAGTTTCCCACTGCACATATTAAACTTAATGCTATATAAGAAATAAAACCATCTATATGTTACTTTGGCCTTGGTTCATTGCATCACCTCAGATTCAAACATTTCACCTAGAATTGTTTAGACACCTCAATGACAGAATACAGAATACGTTCACATATGTTCTTACTTCGTAGAACAAGACATGGGGTCAAATAGAAATGGAACAATAGGAGCAGGAGCATCAAACAACTTGAAGAATAAGAAGACTAACACTAGACCCCATTGTCATGTTGTTTACCCTCAAAAACGGATAACAGTTTAATTTATATGTGGTTTTAAGGATACATGAGTTAATTCTACAAATGATAAATTGCGTCAGATTAAACAGTTAAAAAAAAAAAGTGATAAAGTGTCAAACCAATTGGGAGGGGTGAATTCGGACTCAATAACAGCCTCAATGAAATGCCTGCCTTCGATTCCGGACTCACAATAATGAAGCACCGATTAGCGAAAAATAAGAACTTTGAATAGCAGAGAAAATGAAAGTATATTGCCTTGATGTGCTTGTTACAATTGTTTAATAAATAGTCAGACTCCCCTTTATATTGTAGGGGAGTTTCACCCTAAGTACAATTTTATAAAAGGTAAAAATCTTCCGTTTTACTAATCACTGATCCTTTACTGATACGTGTCGAGATTCACGCCATGATACCCGGCTGGGCGCAGATATCATGGTCCTTAGCTGGTCATGCTCGATTGTCCGGTAACGTCTTCCGAACTTCAGGGATTCGAATCAGTCCTGGGGGCTTGGCTCCGATTCCTCCGAGGGCGGGTGTTTGCTCGCAAACGCAAGACTGGGGTCACAAATGCGATGCTTTACGAGCCTACCTATCGCGAACGCGTCCGTACTTTCGCAAACACGAAGACCAAGTCCCCCACCAGGCCAGCTTCTTCATCGCAAACGCATCCATAGAATCGCGAACGAAAAGTGATGGGTTTACAATACCTTAGTTTTATGTTTTGATGATCTAACAAACTTACTGTTAAAGAACCAGATAAGGAACCTGATACACTTGGTACACAACTCAATCAACGGACTCAAGCTCATGTGAGTTGCTATGACTTTAGAAGACAAAGAATCAAAACAGGGACCCGATCCTCTTGGGTTCCCCTGACAGCAGTACGAAGTCAACTGTCTACAGCTGGAAAGTGAACTGCCTGCACTGTATACGCAAACAGTGCAGCACAGCACAGCAGTCACTTCTCATTGACCAACCAAGTGATTACATCATTTAAGTGATGTCATCTATGTTGTATTAACAATAAACATTACAACAAAATATCACTTGAACACTTGAGAATTATTCAAGCACTCCAAGCGTCTGACAATCAAGCATTCAATTCTCAAGTGCATCAAGAACAAAGTACAACACTAATACAGACCAGTTTCTATAGCAAGTCTCTTTTATGTCCTTAGTTGAGATGTAACTTTGTAATTGTTCTTCGTTGTAATTCCTACTTTGTTTATCTAGAAGCTTTAATTAGGAACCCCTTGTAAACCATAAACCTTCAGAGTTTGTGTCGTGACTGGAGTTAGTCATGAGTTGAAGTCTTTGATATAGGCGTATTGCAAAGTGGCGTGTAATAGGTGTATTACAAGTTAGTGAGGGATTAAGAGTTTAATTCCTAGATTGCATAGGTTGTAATCTAAAGTTTGCTCATAGTGAAGTTGAAATCATACCAGTGTAGGTCGTGGTTTTTTATCCCTTTGAGCAGGGATTTTTCCACGTAAAAGTTTCCTGTTCCATTTACTTACTGTTGCATTAGCGTTATCCGTGGAAACCTATATAGGACCTGGTCTCTATATAGTTTGGTGGACTCATATATTCTATCAAGAAGCCTTACTGCCCGAACTTTCGCAAATGCGTGACAACAATCGCGAATGCGAAGCACAAAATCCCAGCAGCCAAAATCCTTCTTCGTGAACGCATGAATCATTTCGCGTTCGCGAAGAACAAAACCAAACACCAGCATCAACAGTTGCAAAACAAGGAAAAATGATCCGAAACAACTCCAAATCACACCCAAAGCCCCCGAGACCCCGTCCAATCATACCAATAAGTCCCAATACCTTATCCAAACTTATCTAAAGGCTCGAAAGCCACGAATAACATCAAAAATCACGAAGCGACGATCAACATCCTTCTTTCAACTTTCAAACATTCAAACTTCGACAAATGCGTCTGAATCATATCTAAACATTCCGGAATGACGCCAAACTTACGTACAAGTCATAAATCACAATACGAACCTATTCCAAGGCTCAGAACCCCAAACGGACATTGATAACACCTCAGTCCACTTCAAACCAAACTTAGGAAATTCTAAAATCTTCGAATCGACAACTTTCCACAATAAGCGCCGAAATATTCCCGGGCCACCCGATACTCAACACGAACATACCCCAAGTCCGAAATCATCATATGAACCTATTGGAACTTTCAAATCCAGATTCCGAGGTCGTTAACTCAAAAGTCAAACCTTAGTCAACTCTTCCAACTTAAAGCTTCCGAATTGAGAATTTTCCATTTGAATCAATTTCGAACCTCCCAAAATTCAATTCCGACCACACATACAAGTCATAAAATATGAAGCGAAGCTACTCAAGGTCTCAAACAGCCAAACGACATCCTAGATCTTAAAACAAGCGGTTGGGTCATTACATTCTCCCCCACTTAAACATACATTCGTCCTCGAACGTACCAAGATATGGTCCGGAGTTGCCAGCATCACTATTTAACACCTTCTGCACCTCCCCGTGCCACCACAACCCAGGTGAGCACATTAGCTCAAGCTCGACTGAAGGTCCTTCCTACTACCTTAGCCCACAAGCCTTAGAGCCAAATTCTAATATCCAGAATTCTCTACCATGTCTGTTCTGACATACGAATTATGATCATGCACCCACCATACGCTGCAAAAATCGTATGCCCGTAATAGCATCCTCCAACCATAGGAGCTGCAAATTCACTAACCTGATAACCGTAGTATATCTCTTAACACATATAAGCCTGGTCTCAACTCTCACAATAATGCAACGATGAAAGAGATGTGCAGGAACTCATAACCATCCGCCAAATCAATAACTCGTGGAGTCTCTCCGCTTGACAAGAACCATTTCCTCATTCTGAACTGAATAGTGACATTTTCTCTTTGACATACCTTGCATAAATCTGATAGCACTGATTTCAGGTCCAACAACCTCATCTCACCCAGTACAAGTTGTTCGGTCAATAAACCACCTCAAACACCGTCTAAAATCTCATACGACGCCATCAATGCGCCAACAAGCCACAACTTGAATATGACCAATAATGAATAACGAATCCGAATACAAGACTATCCGGCCTGCAAAACGAACAAACCAACCAAACTAATGCTATGAACCTATCTTAGAGATGAAAAAACAAACCCACAAAGTAAATACAAGGGACCATACTTAACATATCATTGTTGCGGCGTGCAACCCGATTCATACACGATACCCGTGATGGCGTGCCACCCGATCCACACATAACAATCAATAAGGAAATACACATCGAGCCATAATGCTCACACCTATGGAATGCCCTAATGTAGACCACGAGCACGCCAAGTGCATAAATATACCCTGGGGAGACAGAATAGCGCCACGCACTACAAAAACTCAAGCACGACTAAGGTGCAATATTGACAAGCTACATAGGACCACAACACACGTGCGAATAATCAAGTCGTCTCACAACCCACATGGCATAATATAGTATAGGTTTTTTTAAAAATTTAAATTTTTAAAAATTTAAATTATGCATTATTTATTATTAATAGTTAGTTACTCTTTTTGAATGTGAATTTAATATAGAATAAAAGTCTAATTAGAATTTGAAATAATTACAAGCAACATAGGAGAGGCAAAGACATCATAGTATGCCAAATGGCAATATAATAAAAATCCACTTGGCAATTTTAGGATAAAATTAGTTAGGCTAGGTAATAATTAGTTCTTTTTGAATTTAAATTTGAAAATAAATAAATTATGCACTATTTATTACTATTAATAGTTAGTTACTCTTTTTGAATTTGAATTGTATCTATCTATCTATCTATCTATTCTATATTAAAAGTGGGAACCTCAAAGCTTAAAAGTTAAATTACCAGAATACCCTTTTTAATCACCTAATTAAATACCTTTTTAATTTAATAAAGCCAAAAAAATGCCTACAATTTCTAACGTTGCCTGGTTTAGAGCATTTTATGAAACGGTGCCAGCTTTCATATCGTTCTTAATTACTTAAGAACCCTAGAGATTAAATTTTTTATGATATTTCCTATGTTCTCAATCCTTCCAGTTTGATAGTTGGCCAATAATTTTCTTTTCATAGTAGACTAACTAATATGTGCATTGGTTTTCAGCTTTTGCTGGATTGAAATATTAGTGGTTATAAAATTACGAAGATGTCTTGGGTTGTAGAGAAATGAGAATACATGCAACAGTAATCATTTTATGTCCTTAAAGTTAGAAACAGAAAATGA